TCTCTGTCAAATAAATAAATAAAATCTTTAAAAAAAAAAAATGAAATATCAGTTTTCAAAGTATATGGGTTTTGGAATTATAGGTTACAGATTATGAACCTGTACATTTAGATGGACAGTTCCAAAGTCTTTTACAAATACTTTGACACTTTTTTCAATGTTAATTTGCATTTTACTATTATAAATATTTGAGTAACACTAGCAATCCACAGGTCCTTAAAGACAGTGATGGTCCTGTCATATTTTTAAAGCAAGCTTTTAATAATCTAATCTGTACCTTAAGGGCTGTAGGTTTTCTGCAAGCAGTAGAGGGATATTCTTCTTTAATTGGTATCTTTGAATCTTTTTGACTATTTTGTAAGCAGTGTGCCTATGCTGTTTTGTGGCATTAGCATTGGATATTTAGCTGGAAGGAGAAAATAACTATATATGTGAGTTTTGAGGCATAAAACATTGCTGTCTGTAAAACATCAGATATTATGGATGTTAGATTGCATTTCCATTGTTAAACCTTCACTGAGAGTTTACATTTATGTAAGTCGTGCAAATTCTCTTTGTAAATACAGAGTGCAGTGTGGACATAAACTGGTCCTGCCATTTGGATAGTGGCACTAGGCAGATTTATGTGTGAACTAACGACAAAAATTCATGGCTAGCAATATGTAAAATAAATTTTCTTTGCAGTAAAAAAAAAAAAAAAAAAGCATGTAAAATTGAAAACTACTACAATAACATAAAAATGAAAATTATTGTAACAAACATGGGATAGAATTCAAAGCAGGGTCAAACTTTGTGACCTATTATGTTTTATACAATCCTTTTAGGTGTTGGTGATTTAGTGCTTTGCTTTAGTCACTTTCTTCTCAACATTGCTTTGTGAACAAATGTAGCAATGATTTTAACAATCCTAACCATGTAAAGTATTTTGTAGCCATAGTGTTTAGTTTTTCATATGTGACTGGGTGTTTAAAGAGTACTAATAATTTCATATCTCCAGGCCTGATGTTTCTAAGCTACACACTCAATTTTTTACCTTTCTTATGCACAGATGCATCTTAATGTTCCATAGAACCTCAGATTCAATGTGCCTCAAACTCAGTCATCCTCTGCCTCCCATTTCCCACCCAAATATGGTGCTCAGTCTCCTCACCCAGACACTGAAAGTCCTAAATTCAATCATCACTGGGCCATATTGTTTTTAATCTCTTGAATAACTCTCAAATCTTTATTCTTTTCTGTTTTTTTTTTTTTTTTTTTTTTTGCACCTGGTCCCAAACTTCTTTCTTTTTCCATCTCCTAACATTTCCACTTTAGCTAAGGTGTCATGCCATGTGTTTGAATAATACACAAACTTCATGCTTTTCCAGCCCATGAAACTTCGTGCTTTTCCAATATCTTCTTCATGCATATTCATCTATATGCCCGTAATGTTCTTCCTCAATGTCTTTGCCTCACTTCTCATCTTAACCAAGAATTTATCTCTTCCAGGAAGCCTTCTCTGAACCCCCAGGTACATTTCCTCTGTGTTTCTTAGCCTTATAATTTCCCATTTTATCATCAAATTATCTGCTTATATGCCTGTTTCCCAACCTAGACTATATGCTCCTTAAGAATAGGAAAGTATCATAATCATCTACAATGCTCTGAACCAGTGGAGTACCAGGTCTGTAGTGAGGGCTTTTAAAGTAAAACCAGAACAGAATGCATATTCATTTGGATGGAGAAGGAGCAATAAACTTGACATAGGAAGATCTAGTTTGTATTGTGACTCTTTCATATATCAACTTGCGTCAGGACTTCAGATTTCCATACTACAAAAATCAGTTAATACTAACACCTCACAGGGTAGTTTGTGATGATTAAAGAAAATAACATAAGTAAAAACTAATTAATTTATTGGGGCGCCTGGGTGGCTCAGTCGTTAAGCGTCTGCCTTTGGCTCAGGTCATGATCCCGGGGTC